GAGAGACAGGGCATCATGAGAGGGATGGGGTTGCCATCTCTCAGTCAAAAAACTCTTGACCTGTTATTGTTCCTGTCTTAAAAAACTTCAGGGACAAAAATGGAGAAGAGCCTGAGGAAAAGGAGGTCTAGCAACATGCCCAAAGTGGGATCCAGCTCAAGGGGAAGCCCCAAGGCCTGACACTATTATTGAGATTATGGAGTGCTTACAAAAATGGGCCTATCACGACTGCCCTCTGAAAGACCCAACAAGCAGCTGAAAGAGTCAGATGCAGATATTTACACCCAACCAATGGACAGAAGCTGGTGACCCCTGTGGTTGAATTAGGGAAAGGCTGGAAGAAGCTGAGGAGGGTGACCCTGTAGGAGGACCAGTAGTCTCAATTAACCTGACCCCTGAGATCTCTCAGACAGACCACTAACAAAGCAGCATACACCAGCTGATATGAAGCCCCCAACACATATACAACTGAGGACTGCTGATTCAGTCAAAGAAGATGCACCTAACCCTTAAAAAACTGGAGACCTCAGGGAGTCGGGAGGTCTGGTGGAATGGGGAGTTGAGTGTGTGTAAGAACATCCTCATGGAGGGTGGGGGAGGAGGTATGGGATGTGGAGCAGTCAGAAGGTGGACTGGGAAGGAGATAAAATCTGGAGTTAAAAAAAAGATTAAATAAAATTTAAAAAAAGGTAAAATTTTGTGCTGTAACCTTTGGCTTCTTTTTGGGAGGATGGGAGACTTTTAATGGTATTTCTGTTTTTTTTTGTTTGTTTGTTTTTGGTGCTATAGGTTTTTAAAAATTATTTATCTCTTCTTGATTTCAGTTTGTTATGTTGTACCTATTGAGAAAATCACCCATTTCTTTTAGATTTTCCAATTTGGTGGAATATAATTTTTAAAAGTATGTCCTTATGATTTTTGGAATTTCCTTGGTGTCTGTTATATCCTCCTTTCCTTCCTGATTTTGTCAATTTGTATATTCTCTATCTTTCCGTTAGCATAAGAGTTTGTCTATTTTGTTGATTTTTTCAAAGAACCAACTCTTTGTTTCATTCCATCTTTGTATTATTCTCGCTGTTTCCATTTTATTGATTTCAGCTTCTCAGTTTGATTATTTCTTGCCATGTACTCCTCTTGCGTATGCTAAGTCCTTTTTGTTCTAATGCTTTCATGTGTGCTGTCAAATTGATAGTATGAGATTTCTCCTTTTAAAAAATATTTTGTTCTATGTAGGCACTCAGGGGTGTGAACTGTATTCTTAGTACCATTTTCATTTTGTCCCACAAGTTTCGATATGTTGTGTATTTATTTTCATTGCATTCTAGAAATTCTTCAGTTTCTTTCTTTTTGATTCATTGTTTCACTCAGTAAACAGTTTCAGTTTCTGTGAGTTTGAAAGCTTTCTGTTCTTTCTTCTGTTATTTTTGATATGTAGTCAGATAGGATGCAGGATATAAGGGGTTATTTCAATTTTCACCTATGTATTGATACTTGCTTTGGGACTGAGAATGTCTTTTTGGAGAATGTGTCATGAGGTGTTGAAAAGAAGTTATATTCTCTTTTTTTTTTTTGGATGGAATGTTCTATAAATATCTGTTAGGTTCATTTGGTTTATAACATAACATAACGTAACTTAACGTAACGTAACATAACATATCTTCAGTATTTCTTATTTAAATTTTGTCTGGATGACCTGTTCATTGGTGAAAGTGAGGTATTGAATTCTCCCAGTTTCAGTGTGGGAGAGTCAATATGTGATTTAAGCATCCACTTTACAAAAGTTGGTGCCCTTCTGTTTGAAGCATAGATGTTAAGAATTGACATACCATTTTGGTGGATTTTTTTCCTTTCATGACTATGTACTGTCTTTTCCCATTTTGTCTTTTGAGTTTTAATTTTTTTGAAGTCTATTTTCTTAGATATCAAAATGGCCACACCAGTCTGCTTTTCATGTTCATTTACTTTAAATATTTTTTTCATCCGTTTACCCTCAGGTAATGTCTGTTCTTGATGCTAAACTTTGTTTCCTGTATGCAGCAGAGGGACAGATCCTGTTTTTGAATACATTCTTTTTTATATACCCATTGATATTGAGAGACAGCAATGACCAATGATTGTTGATTCCTGTTGTTTGTTGTTGTTGTTGTTATTGTTGTGTGTGTGCACGTGTGTGCACATGTAGATTTGCACTTGAGTGTGTGCTCTTCCCTTCTCTTGGTTTTGTTGGTGTGCAATTATTTACTTCCTGTGTTTTCTTGGATGTAGTTATCCTCTTTTGTTTGGATTCTAGCACCTTTTAAAGGGCTGGATTTGTAGATATAGATTGGCTAAGTATGACTTCATCAGGGAATGTCTTATTTTCTCCATCTACAGTGATTGAAAGTTTATGTGGGTATTGTAGTCTGAGCTGTGATCTCTTAGAGTCTGCAATACATCTTTCCATGACATTCTGGTGTTTAGAATCTCCACTGACAAGTCAGGTGTAGTTCTAATATTTGTACCTTTATATTTTACTGGGTCCTTTTGCTTTCCAGATTTCTTTGTTTTTTTTATGTTTAGTGTTTTGATTATTATGTGGTGAGGGCATTCTCTTTTGGTTTTCTGTATAAGCATTTAGAGTATAAGGTACATCTTATAGTTTTATAGACATCTCTTTCATAAGATTAGGAAATTTTTCTTTTATGGTTTTGTCGAAAACATTTTATGGGCCCTTGGGCTTGAATTCTTTTCCTCTCTCTACTCCTATTACTTGTAAGTTTGGTATTTTCATATTGTCTCAGGTTTTCTGGCTTTCAATATGCATGCTACGCTGTATATAATCACAGAAGTTAAGTAACTGACAAGTGACTTGGGCTGAGGTGAAGATCTCCGAAGGGAAGGGAATAGAATATATTGTTATGTAGGAATAGAGTAGATTGAGATGGTAGAATTAAATGGTAATGGGTATGAGAAAGGGATAAGGAAAGAAATATGATGCATGGCAACTTACACTAAGGACCATAAGAAAAGTGAATATTATAGAAGCTTTCTAAGATATGAAAGACATGTAAATAGAGTCACAAAATAATGGTGTCTATGCCTCAACTACAGCATCTTATGTCAGCAAGTGGATGATTGGCCAGAAATCTCAGGCTATTTCAAGTTTGTTGGTTGCTCTCCATAAACTGATGGTAAAACTTTATTGCTGCATACAAGACTTACATATAAAAGGTACTCTGCATGCTACCAGAGGAGGAATGTAATCGTCTCCCCAGCTGCAAACCCTGACACAACTGTAACTTTCCTAAAAGATATGCTGTTACAATAGTAGCACAAACATTCAGGGAATAACCAAGCACTCTGATTGGCTTTAAGGCCTACTTCATGGAATGAACCCACTTCTGATACTTCCAGGATAGCCAAATACCTGAGACTCAGTAAGTCATAGAACAAGGATAAACTAAGTAACATAGTTCTACCAAGGAAACATAGCAATAAAATGACTCCTAGTGACATTATCCTGTACACTTACATCAGTAGTTTACTCAGCTTTTATGAGCAAAACTTCTTTTTGCAAGAGATGGGAACAGAGACACACAACTGGACAATGCAGAGAGTGAGAGACTTGAGAGTACTTAATTCTAGATGGGATTTTTCTATTAAACTCCTATACTATCTATGGTGAAGGGAATGCCAAAAGAGTCTAAGATGTGGAGAGAGCAGATGACTTTAAGGAAACCGTGTCTTCCAGAGACAACATAACTGATACACACATGAATTTATAGAGTCTCTGTCAGCACAACAGGATCAGATCAGGTTCAAGCCAGACAGTGACCCAGCACTGAGAGGGAGAAATAGATACAGGACCATGCCCCTAACCAAGAAGCTATCTGTAATTGATAACTGCTTGCAAAAAAAAAAAACTAGTTTTCTTAAACAGAATTACATTAGATATATTAGTAAGAGTTCAGGCTAGGGTGAAGATTAGTTGTCCAACACAAAAGAAACTCAATGGTAGGTAGTTTTGTGGAGTTTTCACCCATATTGCTTTGTTTGTGTATTTTACAACTTATTGGTCTTTTGTCTAAATACTTTGGTTTCCATTTTTGTGGATTTCATTTTATTTCATGTCTACCTCCTTTCTTCTTCTTCTTTTTAGAAGAGAGATGGAAAGTAGAGTTATGTAGTTGGGTGAGTAGCATGTTGGGTAGGGGAAAAAGTATGATTAGAATATAATGTGTGGAAAACAGTTTTTGAATAAATAAAAAAAATCCAAGTAACCCCAAATTTGCATTTTTGGTATGTGAGTAAGCAGTTAGGAAGCTAAAATCCAGAATAAAGTTTTTCAGTTTCAAAGGTAGTTTTATTTTTAATTTTTGTGAAATTGTATAGCTTATACAATACAAAACATGTGATTTAGTATTGTGTATGTTTATACTATTTTTAACCATCTCAACAATATTTTAAAAATTTATAGACAAAACTTAAAATATTGGTATATAAAATTGTAAAAAATCTCATGCAAAAGAAAATAATAAGAACATTTTGTAATAAAATATAAAAAGTATTTTAAATCTTTTCATGCAAAATGTTTTGATCATGAAACTTTCATCCTCTAACACCACTCAGATCTCCACCAACTCATCTTCACTCAACTCCATCCCTTTTCTTTCTCTGTTTAAAAAGTCAAAAAATCACAAAAACAAAAACCCAAGAAACACACATACACACACACACACACACACACACACACACACACACCCTAGCAAAAGACTAATATGACAAAAAGGGCCCAAACATAGAAATATGATATAAAAAGATAGATTTTTGAAAATCTATCCACTTACCACTGAATTTCCTGGGTATAGGGCCTGCACTGAAATGAGCCTCCATTGGAAGAAACTCCTTTTTACTTTATGAGAGGGTGGCTATTGCACATAGCCTCTTGTGGTAAAGGGTAGCTCAAACAAGATGTGTTTTATTATGTGTAGTCCAAAGTGTTACAATTATGCTCAACTCACCTCTGTAATTCCAGTGGCCCATTCTATCTTGTCCTCAGATACAGATAATTGTTGACCAAGTGGACCATATGGGGAAAATTGTCCAACTTTAACCTTAAGTTGAAGACCTTCTGGAAAGTTCCAGAAGTTGAGAATGTCATACTCTGCATTCAATTTCATTTTTCCATCCAAATTCACTTGTTCTCCAGCAGGATTAAAAAACTGCATGTTCTTCAGAAAAGGGTGCAGCTAAAAAAGATAGATTATGCATTACTTTATGATGAAGTTTGTACCAGAATGAAGACAAAACCCAAGTTTTAGGGAAAGTTTCTTATTATTTAAATCTTTGGTGCATAAGGCAAATTTAACACAGGTATAAAAAATGTAGGACAAATAGCAGCCTATGGATGGTTATGGTGTAAGATTTCTGAAAATGTCAGTCCAACAGACAATTGTTAATCATACACCAAAATAATTAGTAAATGAATGAAAGTCAGGTAATTTTCTGTTTGTCTAAGAAAAGTTAGACCCATCTATTTACTTTCAGAATTAGCCTGTCCTGGTTTGCTTTCTGATGCATTGATAAAAAGCTTACAGGTTACAGTCCTGAAGACTGTAGAAAACCAAAGAAAGAACTCAAGACAGGAGCCTGGAGGTAGGAAATGAAGCAGAGACCATGGAGGAATGTGTTTCCTCACTTGCTTCCATGGCTTACTCAGTTTTTGTTCTTATGCGACTCAGGACATCTTGACTAGGGATGGCATGTCCACAGTGGTTTGGACTCTTCCATATAACATCAATCATTAATCAAGAAAATGCTCCCCAGACTTGCCCACAGGCCAATCTGATAGATGCAATTACTCAGTTGAGGATACCCCTTCCCAAGTAACTCTCATTTGTGCTAAATTGAAAAAAAAAAACTAGTCAGTACATTACTCAGATTAAAATGAGGCTTTGAATACCTTAAGTGGTGTTAGAAGAGATTCCTTAAGTGTCAAGAGCAGTCTTGACATCACTTAGACATGTCAATAGTTTGTGTTACAGGGACATAGCTCAGTTGGTAGAGTTGCCTAGCATGAGTGAAACCTGGTGTTTGATACTAGCTCTGCATAAAACTGTGCATAGTTTTACATGTCTGATATCTCAGCACTCAGAATTTAGAGGCAGGAGGATCAGAAGTATCTTGTTGTTCTTGGCTGCATAGCAAATTTGAGGCCAGCAAATCTAAGCATATTAGGTTCTTCATAAACCATAACAATGACAACAACAAAGAAATAGTTTTCCTTTCCTTCTCACTTAAGCAAATGCTTAGGCATATGCTGAAAGGACCTCCTATCTTACTACAGAGACACTTATTCTATTCAAAACATTTAGGAAATGAAATCAGCTTGGATGCCTATAAACTGATAAATGGATAATGAAAATGTGTTACATTTACACAATGGACTATTATTTACATGTAAAGAAAAACAAATTATAATTTTAGGAAAATTGATGGAACTGGAAAACAGTATACTGAATGAAGTAATTCAGGACCAGGAAGGCCAAGGTAACATGTTCTTTGTCATTTGTAGACCATAACTTTGAACGGTTAAATTTGAAAGCTTAATCTGGGGTGTCAATAGGGACCAGAGACTTAGAAAGAGCTTACGAGAGAGGCAAAGAGAAGAGACAATAGGTGTTGGGGAGGAGGTACTGGAACAGTGAAGTTATGGGAGAACATTGTAGGTAGAAAGGTTTAAGTTGGAATGGAAGTAGAAGATAGGGAAGAGGACAGGGAAATAATTTAACTAAGCATGTACCAAAAGGGCCTATGGAAATATATTGGTGTTTTTGTCTACTAAAAACATAATTAAAAATTCAGTTGGATGAATTATTGGATATTGAATTATTTGATATTCCTTCTTACCAAAGGCAAAGACTGTGACGCAAAAGTCCCAAGATTGAGTATAGATTGATTTCTTATGAGTTGTTTGTCAGGGAGTTACAGAGATAACCCTAACAACTCCGGCTATTGCCACTGCTTCTGATTGTTCCTTAACTGATATAGGTAAAGGTACCAAGCTAGAACTGAGTCCTACCTCTACTCTAACCTTTAGGGGTGGAAGCCATGTATACATCTGGGTACTATGTAGCTGCAAGCCAGCTTTTGATGATAATGATCCTTCTATCTAGATATGTTCACTGGGAAGATAGTAGCATGAATGTTACAGTGAATTTGAAACACTTACTGTCGGAGGGAATTCATAGCTTCTACTCATAGTGGGGCATGAGATTGTCCCTATCGGGCAACACACTTTGTTAATTTGCTAAGTGGGTATGGTGTCAAACTGCTTTCTAAATACCTATGTTTATACTCATATGTTAGTTTTAATTTCAGTATTAATGAGAAGAATTTTTTGGCATGAGCAGTGGTTAACACAAAAGTTTATAAGTGGTCAAACTGCTAAGAAATAGTGACTCTGACCTATATAAAGATTTGAATAGTAAAATGTCCCTCATAGGCACAGACATTTGTACAGTTGGCCCTCTGTTGATGATATTGTTTGGGGGGAAGATTATGAGATGCTGCCTTGTTGGGGAAGGCATGCCATTGAGTGTGCACCAAGAGAATTTGAAGATTCACCTCACTTTCAGTTTGCCAGCTCTGATTCACTCTTGAGTTACAGGGTGCAAGCACTCAGCTTCTTGCTCTGATTGGAAACAGGCCTTCTATGTCCTGCCATGCTATCCTCACAGTTATGGCTTCTAAACCCCAGGAACTGTATTATGAAGAAATCTCAGCTTTCTGTTAGTTGCTTTGGTCACAGTGTTTTATCACAGCAATAGGAAAGTAAGTAACACAGAGGTTATTAACAAGGAAAGTATTACCGTGAAGAACACAATCATGTTGTTTTTTGGAAGAATGTGGGCATCTGTGGAACTTTGGACTAGAAAAGCAGTTGATTGCTGTAAGCAGAGATTAAAGGGCCTTTCTAGTAGAGCCTGGAAGATTCTATTGAGAACATTGTCTATGTACTGTGGGGCAGGTCAAGAGGGTACAGAAAGGAAAAACAGTAGCGACTAGGGTAGCTGCCATTCCTCTCATCATTTGGGGTGAAATCCTGTTTGCCTCTGCCTTTGTCCTAAAAAAATATACTCAAAGATTTTAAAAGTAATGATCTAATTTCTTTGGTGGGTAAAGTTTCAAGACAGGCTAATATTGAACCTATGACAGCATTACTATTAGCAACTCTTACATAGATTTAGAGTGAGAAAGAGTAATTGGAGCAGAAAAAAGTAACAGCTATGGCTTGTAGAGAAGAAGAACATTGGGAAGCTAATTCTGCAGATACTGTGTATGGTAGAAGAGAGGCTGTGATTATTGTGTAGATTAGTGCCATTAGGAAGAGGCCTTCTCTGCTTCGGAATAAAGAGAAGGATGGGCTCAGGTCAAGATCTCAAGATAAGTTTCCTCCTTTTTTTTTTTTTTTGGCCTTTTGAGACGGGGTTTCTCGGTATAGCCCTTGGCTGTCCTGGAACTCACTCTGTAGACCAGGCTGGCCTCTAACTCTGAAATTCACCTTTCTCTGCCTCCCAAGTGCTGGGATTAAAGGCGTGCGCCACCACTGCCCAACAAGTTTCCTACTTCATAAAGAGCTTAAGGTGCTTTCTTTTCCGCTCCTAAACATCAAGTGAGCAAAAGCATTGTTGCTAGTGTGAATGGGTGTAGGGGGAAGACGCATTCTAAACTGGCAGCCAAACGTAACCATGTTGAATATGTGGTGTTGGCTTTAGAGGTAAATAGGATGTAAGAGTGATTACTTCTCCATGGTTTAGGATCATTGCCAAGACTGGTCAGGATATAGTACAGAAGAACTTCTGTGTAGGTCCTGATGGAGCAGGAGATCCTGAGATGCAATTATGTGAAGCTGTGAACACGAAGCCTTGGTTGTAGTGGAGATATCAGGATGTTGGAGATGCCAGAGCTGTCAGAAATCTGTCCAGGAGGCTGCATATAGCAAGTGGGACCATCCTATGAGGAAGATGTATGCTGCTGGCAGCAAAGCTGAAGGGGTAGAGCCATTTGAAATAAAATTTCCAGACATCAGATATGGCACTTCAGGAATCAGTGTTTGCTTTGCTGGGTTTCAGTCTTGATTTGGTTCTGTATGTAAATGTAATGTATGTTTTGTGCCATTATATATTAGTAACATATAACTTGCTTTTTGCTGTAACAGGGATTTATACTTAGGGATCACTTTGAGTATTAAAAGTTTCTTTGGACCTTTAAATAGCATTGAGAGTATAAATGACTATGCAGAATTTTTTTTTATTATAACATGACCAAAAACATTTGGAGTCTAGAAAGTGGAGTATGGATGTTTGATTGAGAATCATTCCTCAAAGAGTCAGATATTTTAACAGTTGGTCCCTATTTGGTGGTATTGTTTGGGGATGTTTAGAAAGTTCAGTCTTCTTGGAGGAAGTATGTAACTGGAGTTAGTCTTTGAGACTTTAGAAACTATTCCACTTCTATGTCACTGTTTCTGATTTGTGATTGAAGTAACGATATGAGCTGTCATTTTGCTGTGTCATCTTCCATTCCTGCTACTCTGCTATCCAGTGTCACACTGATCATTCAGCCGTGGAGTAACTCATGAGTTCCCATACCTCCTGAAGGTCTATGATCAGTCACTGGTTCCAGGAGAGGCAGTGCCATTCTTTGCAGTGTTGTAGCTAGTAATAGATTTCCCATTGTCATCCTTATGTGAAGAATCATAATTAAACTCAGTGAGTCACACACACACAAAAAAATGTGAAAATAGGAGGTGTGTCTGTTGGGAAGAAGGTTTCAACATGAGGAGAAGGGGGATAAGATAGTGTAATTAGGGTGGAAAGACCAAATGCTTACTATATACATTTAAGAAATGATAAAAAGCTGTATGCTAGGAATGACAGAAAAGGTGGTTTACTTTTCTTGTCATTTAAGGAGTTTACATAGGAAGCTGAAGTCCTCTCTTTGATCATAGTTTGAAACTTCTAGAGCTTGGGACTGGAGTGTCAGTTGGTACAAAATTGAAGACAATTATGTCTAATCTTTCAGGCATTTTAATACCCTATAGTTCAGCAGGGAGTATAGGGCACCCTTCCATTTTCATAGCTCATTGTTGATATAGCTAGTCTTGTGCAGATCCAGCACAAGTAACTTCAGCTTCTGTGAGATCAAGATTACCGTGATAATATTCTTAGAAGATGGCATTTTGCAG